ACAAAACTATATATTAAAGCTATAGGTCCGATTGGGCTGAGGACAAGGACAATGACAGGGTTTGTACATTTATAAAGTGCTTTTATTAAAGAAAAAAAAAGTCTTTATTATTGTTTTAACTTATTTGTTTGTCTTGTCATAGTAACTGCCACAATTCATCCAAGTTTCACACCATTCCAGTAAAGGAGCCATTTTTGGGGGGCCTAAAATAACTAAACAACATTAAAACTTATAATCTAATTGCAGTCAAATTGTCCTTAAAACAAAACAAAACAAATGTCAAGCTGAGATAAAGTTGTTTTTTCCATGAATCTTTGCACTGAATAACAAACAGAAGTCGGTCAGTGGTGCTGCCTGCCATTCAGAACAGAAAGTAATTCAATTAGAAAGGGACTGCATTAAACATTGGCATAGACAGTAAATGATGGACCTCAGGGGAAGCATTACACTACCAACTAATTTATTGAGCACCGTAAAGAGAGTGGCGGGAATGAACGAGAGTGGATGCGAGATGCTGAAAACTGAGTATTATTAGATGCAAATATATACTACACTCATATCTGCCTGACAGATTTCAGTTTACATGCTGATATGCATTTACATGCGCATCAAATAATCTGCCTACTTTTTTTTTGACACATTTCTTTTATTTTGATATGTTGCATTGACTGAAATATGCTCTCCTTTTAAAAAAATAATAAATTATTGACAAAGCGTCCTTGAGAAAACTGTTAGTCATTCATTGTTTATCTCAACAGTCTTCATTTATCATATTGTTCATAGGTGACACAGAATGGCCTAGTTGTCTCTCATAATGTGCACATTAGAGGCTGATGTTTACACATTTTACCCCTGCTGTGGAAAATGATGTTGACTTAAACAAATGCATTGCAGAAAAGCAGGAAATTTGAGGCAGCAGACATGAACATTGGTTTATAATGAGGAGATAATGCAATTTTTCTATTCTGGACACACTAAAATTGGACGAAAATTGAACGGTCAGCAGGAGTAATAGTACGTGCATGTGATGGACTGCACCCAATTGCCTTTGAAGTGGAAACAAGGTATTTTTTCCTGCTTATATTAGTTTGAAGGGCAAAACATATGTAGCATTTTTAGTTAAAGCTAATAAAACACGCATTTTAAATTGGTCCTAGTAGAAATATATAATATATACATATTACAGTTAAAGTCAGAATTATTAGCCCCACTGTTTATTTTTTCCCCAATTTCTGTTTAATGGTGAGAAGATTTTTTTAACACATTTCTAAACGTGATAGTTTTAATAACTCATTTCTAATAACTGATTTATTTGATAAAAAATAAAAATAAAAACTGCTTTTATTCAAGCCAAAATAAAACAAATAAGACTTTTTGTTAGTTTGTTTTTTTATGTAGGCGATGTAGGAGATATAGAGTCCCTATGTTGAACCGAAATAAGAAATCTTTTGTACAAGATTTTATCTTAATTAGCATTATAATTATAGTAAGTACTGTATATTGTATTGTTTTATTGTTTGTTTATATGGAATGTCTGCAGCAGTATGGTGATGCCCATTACAAATTTCCTGTCAAGGATAATAAAGTTTTACTATTACTACAACTACTACTATCAAAAAGTCATATAAAATATGACACATGACCACAAAAACATTCATAAGTTTTGGACCTGAACACTGAATAAATAAGATTTCCATTCACGTATGGTTTGTTAGGATTTGGCTGTGTTACAACAATTTGAGAGTATGGAATCCGAGGGTAAAAAAAATCTAAAATGTTGTGCAAAGAGTTCTGAGTAATACACATTACTAATCAAAAATTAAGTTTTGATATATTTAAGAAGGAAAATTTCAAAATGTCTTTATGGAACTTGAGCTTTACTTAGTATTCTATAACTTATAATTGTATAGAAAAATCTACAATTTTGACTGCTATGTATTTTTGGCTCTTACCACAAATAAACAGGGGCAGATTTAGTGATTTGGGGGCCCTAAACAGTTGAAGTCAGAATTATTACACCACCTGAATTATTAGCCCGACTTATTAGCTGAATTATTAGAAAACGATGTTATGTGTATAATTTACACTTCTAGGTATTGGGGGCCCTCAGATTTTCTAAGCGGCTGCTTACTTCGTTAATTGGGGAAATCCGCCCCTGAACATAAACATGTCGTTGTTTTTGTTTTGTTGGTTTTTTTTCTTTTCTTTTTTGCTCTTGGGTCCAATTATTTCTCATCATGAAAATGCAGAAATGAACCACAAGCTGAGATAAATCAATTGCTTTCATAAGACAATCATCATCAGCACTGCCACATTTACATTTACTCTTCTGATCTCAGTGATCGCAAAGCATCAACCAAATGCAGCCTACTGCAGGTGAACTTGCAATAGGAAAATATAACTCCTTTGTAGTTCACTTCTTTAAAAAACGCTTTTAACCAGTAAGAAGGGCTAATAATAGCAAGCAAACACTTGGAACTTGACAGTTTTGAGACCAAAACTAATTCCTTTTAAACGACAACAATGTGTTATGAATATGCAGGCTCACTGAGCAGTCAGAGTAATGTCTTACCTTTTAGATTAAGTAAATTAAGCTAATCCTCAACAAACACATAGAGAATCAAACAAACTAGCAAAATTGACATAAACATATTTATTAAGAACAAACAAGAAGAAGCTGAAATTCATTTTACCTTTGGGAGCTGCTAAGAACAACTATAAAGAATGCAAGAATAATGCAAAAATTCAAGAAGCCACATACTATGTTGTGTTCCCCCACAGCCCAACATCTCAAGCCTTCTACAATGGACACAAAAGTCTGAACCCTCCAAATACATTTTCCTTCATGTCAGAAGTAGTGTTAAAGAAAGCCAGAAATGAAATGGGACTGAATCAATCAGTGACCATGAACCAAAACATTATGACCAGTCAAATGTGCAGCGAATATCATTGATCATCTCCTAACAAGAGCACGTAATTAGGTCTAGATAAGTCAGATCATGAGAAAAAAAATCTGAGTGTTTAATTCAGGAGAATTGTGCAATAATAATGAGTGACTTTGTCAAGGGCTAAATTGTAATGACAAGGCAAATAAGCATCTAAATATATGCAAGTCTTGATCAGATCAGAAGTGGTGAAAATTTACCAACAGTGGTTTGAGAAGGAACAAACCACAAATCGGTGACAAGGTATTGGGCATCCAAGAATCACAAATCGCACAACTTTACACTGTCTGGTCCAAGCCACAGAAGGTCAGCTGTGAATCAACCAATCAGAGCGCCCATGATGACCTTTTTCCATTATTAAAAGCACAAACAATGGGCACACAAGCATCAGAACAGACCTTGGAGCAGTGAAAAAGGTTGCCTGGTCTCATAAGTACTATTTTTCTTATAACGTTTACCCCAGGAAGAAGATGTTTATCTCAGGAAGCACCAGAATTTACAGCGAGGCAGTATTAAGCTGGTGGAGTGTGTTATTCTGTCCAGTATTCTGCTGTGAAACTTTGTCTGCCGATTAATGTGGATGCAAATTTGACACCTGCCACCTACTAAAAATTATATTGATTCTCTCACTGGAGGAACTTCTTCACATCTCTAGAACTACTGGACCCCGATTTAATGGTGGAAGACAAACTGATTGGGCGAACGCATGCCATACTAAACCCCAGCACAATATTTTAAAGAGTTTCAGCAAAAATCTAATGTTTTTAAAAAAATCTAATGTCTAATGCTGTATTTACCCGTCACCATGGACCTTATTCATCATAATCTTAAATCATTGAACGTTTTTATTTGATTAAAAAAAAAATTGTGTACATGTATTCACGTATGTGTTATATTGTCTTCGCATCAAATTACAAAAAACGAATTACCATTTGTGTGAGGTGTTTCTAATGCAGCATCTATGGCGCAGGACACACTGTAAAAATGCAGGGTCCCACATAATTCATTCATGTTGTCCCAACACAAATTGATTAAGTTAACTTAACACTTTTAACAAATTTATGTGGATTAAACATTAACAATCAAGTTGTCCCAATAAAATTTCAAGTATTGTGTTGGTTTAGCTCATTTTAAATAAGTCATTGTCATTCTCACACACATTTTTTTCTTTCACTAAAAGTCTTGATAACACCATTGTGGAGTTTTTTTATTATTTCAGCAAATACGATAGCAAGAAAAATTATTTGTTGTACTTTCCCGTTTACTGCACTCTAAGTTTACCCAACTATGATGACTTCTGCGGCTAAGAAACTGGGAAATGTGAAAAGGGTCCATTGTATGCGTAAGTAACAGAATCATAAGTGATTTAGTCCACTATTTTTTTCTCTTTTGTGTATCTTACACATCTACACTACATCTCTATTATAACCAACACACAACACACTTTTGATCATAATTTTGGATTTTGTTGAATGTTGCTATCACCCAGTGTACGCCACTTCAGAGATCCTAGTGATGGTGTATGCAACCAAATGCAACCAGCTAAATGTGCTAAAAGGGAAATTTGTTCTTGGTGGACCAAGCCTAGTTGATAGTTTCTGGTGCGAAAGCCCCTAATTTGTTATTTCAATGGTGCCCACTAGTGGAAGTGTCCTGGTTTGCAGAAAAACATGGAGAAATCTTATTCAGGAATGCTTTAAAGAGAATGATGAAGAGTTCAAAGTGTTGCCCTGGCCGTCAAAAATCCCCAGTCCAACTGAGCATCTGGGAGATGAGCTGGAACAACAAGTTTGGGAGTTTCAGTAGCTCTACCTTGCAACCTACAGGACCTGAAAGATCAGTTGATAATGTCTTGCTGCAGATACCAGAGAACATCTTCAGGGGTTTGTCAAGTAAGCACAATAAGCAGGAGGTCATAATGCTTTGGCTGATTTGGTTGAAAGGGTTCAGCTATCTTTATGTCGCATTGTGCTGCTCACATGGAAGACAAGTGTACGGGAGACAGCATGTAAGCTAAAAACGTATTTTCAAAGAAAATAATGGAGGGAAAACAAGTACCCCTTCTGAAAGCTTTATTTGAGAAGACCGATAGCACTTCTCATGTTGCAGCATCCAAAGCAATTATCTTATTACTGCAGGCATTAGGAAGCTCTCAAACAGTTGACTTTTCCCCATGCTTTCAGCAGCAAAAACAATTATTCTCACTCAACATTCAAATCCTTTATCTGCACTAGCTTAATGAGTTTACAGTGAAACCTCGGATTCAAACCGTCTGGAACTAGCTTACACTGTTACCTTTCATAGCTAAATTAATTATAGCAGCATTATGCAGAGCTAAATGTAGCTTTGCACCTGCTCTGTTGCTATTTTGGTTGGGTAGATCACAAAAGATCATCATCATCATATATTCGTCTATTCTGAGGTTTCAACATTTCCCGTTTCCATTGCATAAACTCCCCAGATTAATCAAATACAGAACTGACTGACCATCATATTTCACCAAGTCCAATTTCCTTTTCATCTCTGCTAACTCATGCTTTATATGTTGCACTCTCTTAAGGATAAAACGGTAAGAACATCGGGTGTGCAGACATAATGTACCACAATACTCCATATGGATGTCCTACAAGGAGGCCAGATTAACAGCCAAGGTCCAGAGTGGCAGAAGCGCCAAAGGAGGCATAAGGTGGAGAACGGCCAGTCTGATGCCAGCTGACTCAGGACGAGATGAGCCGGACTTCGCTGCAGCGGGTCTGGTGTAAATGTACGGATGACTCTGGGATTTGTCAGATTGATGAAAGACAATTAAGAGATGCAGTAATGGAATTATCAAGAGAATCCAACACAGCAAAGTGTCCTAATTGTATGAAAAAACATTATTAGTAGTTTTTTTCTTACCACCTGAGGGCAAACAAGCTCGATAGGGTCTGAAAAGCTCTCCACCATGAACTTCTCCCCCTCAGGTTGAAACTTGCCAAACAAGAAATGAGAGAAAAGGTTTTACAAACTGTGTACCTGTGTGATAATCAGAGGCTGCGCTGGTAAAACAATCTCAAATGTTGTACATAAAAAATATATATACAAATAAAATGTCAAATAAATAAATAAATAAATAAAATTGTTATAGTTTGTTATTTTTTTCTTTACCTTTTTATAAATCAAGTGTTTTTCTTTTATCTTTAACTTTATTTTATTTTTGATTTGTTTATTCGAAATCATGTACTTACTGATTTCGTACTTATACTACATAGTATGCTAAAAACAGTATGTGAGCCGAGTAGTATGTCTGAATGTACATGGATGACCGACTACTACCGGCGAGATTCTAAAGTGCGCATCCGATGGACGCTACGCTATTCCATGATGCACTAAGAGATAATTCATGAATGGGGGTGAAGTGGCGCAACTGACATGGGTAAGTCACTTGATTATGACAAAATGGAGTAGTATGTCCGAGTTCCATTTTATACTACTAAGTGAAGTATTATACTGTATATAATGTACTTTTCTAACAACCGAGTAGTACATTTAAATTCAAATGCAGTACCTAGTGAGTAGTAGATGATTTTAGATGCAGCCATACAGTATTTTTTACAATATATTGTTGCAATCCAATTAAATTTTTATTCAATTTATTTATTTAGCTTTTTAAACATTTTTTATTATATTTTATATAATTTATTATTTTATATCTCATTATTTTATTGCAGATCATTCTATAAGCAATGTTAAATAATAACTTTTTACTACTTTAACGTGTCTTTTTTTTGCTTTTTTGTTTTATTTTAATTTTTGTCGCATTTAATTGTTTTATTAAACTTTTTTTTTAACTAAATAGAGCTTTGTAAATTGTTTAGAGTTAAAGAAATCAAATCTCCTTACCATGTTGTTCCACAGGCCTTTGGCCAACTCCTCGTGTCCTTTCATGGTGAAGTGAAAGCAGTCCGGGGTAAAGAAACTCATGTCAATCTTCCCATTCTAATCAGTGAAAATTAAGTCACAAAGCAAAAACAGCACATTCATATCTTATTAGAAACTTCCAATTCAAAGTTCAAACATAATGCAAAACTGCCATAAATGACAGTAATTAGCACTGTTCTTACAGGAAGTCTTGGAGGATCTGCATGTTTCAGGAACGGCTGCAAAACTACAGCAAAGTCCTTCTTAAAGAATCGATCACTGTGCAAAAGCTGCTCCAGAGCTTTCTGCAGCAAAAAATAAGCTATTAAGAACTGAATATGCAAATTACAGCTTTAAAATATGTTAAATAAATGTGATGACAAAGCCACCTGGAATTCCAGGTTTACTCCAACCAGTTCCTTCAGGGCAGAGGATCCAGCAGCAGGCTTGACCAGACAGGAGCAGAACGACCTGCACAGATCAGAGCATTGGAGAAAAAGAGAAATGAACCTGTAGCACTGGAAGAAGGATGGTGTGTCAACAATCTTCAACATACTGACTGCCATAATCTGTAATAATCATTTTAACAGATTTTTGATTTACTGATTTTGAACAGTGTATTAGATATAAAGTGCAGATGCATTTTCATGCACCACTGACAACACTCTCTCACTCTCTTTAAGTTTTTAAAGGAGCACTTGTTTTGGAAATAAGCTCATTTAACAAGTGCCCTAGAGTTCGGAATGAAGTAGCAGAATGAAAGTATAGTCCCTAGATAAATCAGCCTAGAAAACAGCAAATTTTCATTTTCCAACAGTCTTAGTACCCAGTGTAACTAAAATTTTTTTTAAAGAGATGCTAATGGTCTAATCCTATTCAATGCTTTATGCTAGCTAAGCTAAAAGTGCTCCTGACACACACTGAAATTGACTGAATGGATTAAAATATGGCAAAATTGTATTAAAAATTGTAGTGTCCCGTTAAAAGCCTGATTTAATGTTCTGCACCTTTGGAGAAGACATCCTGGGGTGGGTTTCTGTACTTCCCTGAGGGTCTCCATTGGCAGTATCTGGACCACGTTCACTATCATTCGAGGCACCTGCAAAAGTCAGTTAAAAAAAGGTGATCAATAATTCATTACCATTCAAATGTTTAAAAGGTCAATAAAAAGTTATTGAGAGAAGCTCACCAATGCTGTATTTTTTTTTTCAAAAATACAGTAATACAGAGAAATTTCCCAACAAATATTCAAGACAGCCATTTTTACATAATTTATAATGTAGCTTATTCTTGTGTTTTAATGCAAAAAATTCAGCATTTTTACACCAGTCTTAGGTGTCCCTTGATCTTTCAGAAAGCAGTCTAATTTGATGATTTAAAGCCTTACGAAATTATTATTTATGTCAAAAACAGCGGAGTTGCTAAATATTTTGTGCAAACTAATAGAATTTGTAAAACAGAAATTTATTTAAAACCATGTTTGTAATAAAAGTCCTTAGCTTTATTTAAATTAATGCATTTTTTATCTTAATGACTCAAAATAGCAGTGTATGTTCTCAATACAATCAAGTCCACGGTTTTACAAACAATCTAATAAAAACAACATGATAAAGAAAACAAATCTCTCAAAATTAATTTCTGTCCAAATCTTACCTCATTCATCAGCATTTCCAAGGAAACAGTCATATAATGGATGAAGTTCTCCACCGAAAACAAGGACTGCGAGTACAAAACAGGACATAAATTTAGAGGCTCCATAAATACATTCCTACCGGACAGTATGTCCAAGAACAGAAAAAAGTGCTCTTTAAATGTCACTATTTTCGGGCCTAGAACTGCTGTTCCTTAAAGCATAGATACATTTCTAGGAGATAATGTGTGTTCACAATCAATTTAACATCTGTTTTAACCCTTTATCTGATTAAGTGACCATTTATGGTGAGTTGATTGACAATGTTAAAAAAAACAATTAGCTTTGCTTAAATCCTTGTAAGTAAACCATTAGCATCTTGCTAAAAAAATGTTTTGTTAATTTTTCTATTTAAAGCCTGACTCTTCTGTAGTTAGACAGTTTTTTAAGACTGACGGAAAATTGAAAGTTGCTATTTTCTAGATCAAGACAGCTAGGAACTATGCTCTCATTCTGGTATAATAATCAGGGAACTTTGCAGCCATGGCTGCAGCAGGTGCAATGATTTTATGATTTTACGTGCCACCTAAAAAATAGTCCCCAGCTAGGTATCTAGGCAACAACACTGCAAAATATCATACTATTATACTAGTGTGCCTTCTGGAGCCATAGTACAGCAGTCAAGAGTCAAGCTTTTCCACTTTTTGGTCAATTTTGAGCTAGATGCTAATGGTCTAATCCGGTTCAATGATCTATAACAAGCTAAGCTAAGCTAAAAGTGCTCCCGCCGGACCCAGAGATAACCTGAATGGATTCTAAAATGGTCAAACTCAATTGTTTAACTCCAGGGGAGTTGTACAATTTGTATATTTTCAAAAATGGTGAAGTGTTTCTTCAAGTCGTAACAGTTTAAAACAGTGATGCCCAGACTAGGGCCCCTGGGCCAAAGTTGGCCCATGGTAACCTTTGATTTGACCTGCCTGCTTTAATGTAACCTTATATTTGTTTGTTTTATTGTTAAGCTACAAAAAAACTGTCTTTTATGATTTTTAAATGTTTTAATGTAAATGATGTAAATTAATCAGATGTAGTTTAACAGTTTAAAATGTACATACGATAGAGAGAGGACAATGCAGAGACTTTGGTAAGCGAATCAAGGCAAAGGCAGATTCTGCTTGATTAGTGTATTTAGCATTGAACTCAACTGTGTTTTAAATGTGGTTATGTTTTTATTGCAATACATTCTAATGAAAAAGGTTTTTACTGCATTAGATAATATGATTCAAAATAGTGTTTTCTATTCATTTTTTAATTATAAAATGAATTAGGAAACTACCCATGGTAAAAAGTTTGGTATATTTATCTTTGGCCCAAGGCTTTCAATGATATTAGTTTTTTGCCCTTCATACGAAAAAGTTTAAGCACCCCTGGTTTGAAAGTCTTGTTATAACCAGTGGTAACACATTGGGTTTTTCCCAATGAGTATTTCAATGAGAGTTCAATAAACGACTAAACCTCTACTTCCCGATTTGACATTGTGAACAAAATCTGTAAATACTGTAGAAGAATCTTCTGTCTGTAGCTTGCCAAAGAAACAGCTTTGTAAGCAATGCCTTGTCTTTGCAGTAATCACAGATGTCATTCATTCCAATGAGAATGGTCAACAGCTTCCAGTCCACATCAAAGTCAATATCCTGTAGCATAAAGAAAACATACATAAATATAGTTATTGAAACAGTATATTTCAAACGTACTCCAAAGAAATAACACACTCACCTCATATGTTTTCAATGAATCGATCAAATGTCTGACTTGTTCAGGTAGATTACTAGGAAGACAGCAAAACTCATATTGTCAGTGGCAAATGTGATAGTACAATAACAAATGATCAAAACAGTTGCAAAAACACAATTATAGCAAAAGATATCTTGCATATTATCAGGTGTTAGTGAAGAGTGACTAGTGGTGTACTGGCATTTACAAGGTGTTGTGTCCGGTTACAGCCAGGTTAAACCCAGTCTCGCAGAGGGGAGCAGGGGTCCCGTGAACAGTCTTGGATGGTGCAGGTCCCACTAAACTGGGGTTGAAGAGTCGAATGATGTCTAAATCAAAAGCACAGAAGAGCTCAGGTCACTCAAGTAAAAAGCACATTTCAGAAACATTTCACAAGCAGACTATGAAGATTTCTGACTGTTAATGCAGAACATGAGCGATATTTAGGTAGAAGGACGTACTTGCCAGTGTAATGACATCTTGAAAAGATCCATAACCACCAATGCTTTTCAAATATAAAATAAACACAATAAAACAAGGATCATTTGAGTCAATGACATGAACATAATTGGACATGATAAACAATACACACTTCATTTTTCACAAAGTTGAAGCCAGATATATATAAAAAAGCTTTTTTTTTAAAATTAAAGCATTATATATTAGGATTGGCGACGTGGTGCACAGCAAGAAGGTCACTGGTTCGAGCCTATATAGATGAACTGTGTGCGCTAAATTGTCCATAGTGTACAGTTGAAGTCAGAATTATTAGCACCCCTTTGATTTTATTTATTTTTTATATTTCACAAATGATGTTTAACAGAGCAGTGAAATTTTCACAGTATGTCTGATAATATTTTTTCTTCTGGAGAAAATCTAATTTTATTTTGCCGAGAATAAATGCAGCTTTTAATTTTTAAAAAACATTTTAGGGTCAAAGTTATTAACCCCTTTAAGCTATTTTTATTTCGATAGTCTACAGAACAAACCATTGTTAAACAATAGCTTGCCTAATTACCCTAACCTGCCTAGTTAACCTAATTAACCTAGTTAAGCCTTTAAATTTCACTTTAAGCTGAATAGAAGTGTCGTAGAAATATTATGTGCTGTCATCATGGCAAAAATATAATAAATTAGTTATTAGAGAGGAGTTATTAAATCTTCTCTCCATTAAACAGAAATTGGGGATAAAAATAAACATGGGGGCTAATAATTCAGGGGGACTAATAATTCTGTCCGTATTGCTACATAAAACATATGCTGGATAAGTTGGTGGCTCATTCCGCTGTGGCGACCCCAGATTAATAAAGGGACTAAGCCAAAAAGAAAATGAATGAATGAATGTATTAGTATTGGTACCTCCATGACACATGACGAAATTCAATTGGTATGCCAAGAACTGTAGTTGCATTCGCACCAATGGCTGTCTACAAGTGAGACAAATACAGATTATTAATGCTTCATTTACTACATCTTGCATTATTAGAAACAATTAATTTGGCTATTTGCTTAAAGTGATAGTTCACCCAAAAATGACAGCTTGCTGTTAATTTACTTAACCTCTGGCTTCCTGTCACATGACATATATCAAACAGTGGGGATCTGAGACAAATCTGTATTACCTACAGTGACTGTACAGGTACATGTTCTGATTGTGCAGACACATCAGAAACTTGCTTTTAACATAGGTTGAAGGATCCTGGCTAAACTCATCCATGCTGTAAACAAACAACATTAGCTAAGACGTGATTTTGTGCCCATGCCCTATCAGTCAGGAAGCTCATAAATGCTTCAGATTGTCTTGAACAGACTGAGGCTGTGAATTAAAGTTAATAGAAATGTAAACAACGATCTGTTTCTTTTATCGACCTATTGTTACATTTGCAATTTACTGTCAGGAGACATGGTTTTAATTATGCTTTACCTATGTGTTATTTTTGACTCTTAAAGTCCGCTAACTTTAAATTTACTTAATAATCATCACCAAGGATGTAATCATTTTAAAATAATCATTTATTTTTCAGAGAAAAATACTCACCTTAATCATGGATGTCTGGAAGGTGAATAAACTAACAGCAAATTTCAGCATGTGCCGGTAAAGTAGGTTTTTGACACATGAATGCCGGTTTAAGCTGGTTCTGACCAGTACATGACCAACAAATAACCAGCTTCAACCAGCAGCCATGAGTCAAAAACTACCTTACCAGCAGCATATGCTGTTTGTTTCAACAGGGTTGTATTTTTGGGTGATCATCTCTTTTAGGTTTCTGGATTTTGCCTATTGACTGTGATGACAATACAGTGTGGCATAAATTCGATTGTCAGATAACAAATTAGAGTTACATTCAGCAAGAAATATAAAAAATAAAGAGTAAATTATCACACTCACAGTCAATGAATCTCCAAGAGCAGCAATCACTTTTATATCTGCTGCTCTCACCAGCTCAACTACAGCAGAAATTAGATGATTAGAACAGCAAAAAAGATGATCATAGAGCAAATGTTTATCTACACATTGTCTATTTACCTGTGCTACAACTGGACCTATCATTCATCAGTGATAAACATGATTGCCAAAGGTAAAACGCCTCAAAATTTCCCCTGCATGACTAGCACTGACAGCTTGTATAATCACATTTTATCATATTGACTTCACTGACACATTGTCTGTATTCATCACACAATGTGGGCACAGCACTGACCCTACAGCAGCCTACCTGAGGTGGGCACAGAAGAGGAGGGGCTCATGTCAGGACACATGAAAAGTGGATGTTTGAAACTGATTGGCCTGGTCTTCTCAGGAAACTCCTGTAACAAAATAACACGAAAAACTGATGTTTTTTGTGTGTGACATCACATCCTGACAACATAAATATTAGGCAAGTCATAACCAGAGCAGTGAAATGTTTACAATGTGATGTAAGGTTATATCCATAGACTCAAAAGCATACTGGCATGACAAAGCACAAAAACACACACACCTTCCTAAGAGCTTCCTCACTGTAGTGACTGAGTCCTTCTTCATATTCCAGCCTCCACTCGTCTCCTTGGGGAAAACATTAAAATCCATGAGTCCTCTAGACTTCAGAATCGAAATGTGACACAGGCCAGCCTCTATTGATCCATAGATACACATAGACCTTTAACTTCTTGATCAATATCAACTCCCTGCATCCCAGGTCAATCTCAACATGTAACATAAGCCCTGCGCTCCAGCTTATCTTACTAGCTCTTGATGCTTCTAGCACTTACCTTCGACAGGACAGAGGGCTAGCAAATAGGTTGCCAGGGCAATGAAAAGCCACTCCATGGTGGAGCGTTTCCAAGCGGTTAGCACAATGGATGTGCGTGCAGAGAGAACGGGGCCATTATATCTCTGCCCCTTTGTCTCCCCCACCCAAAACAGCTGAGTGACAAAGTTCAGGCCCACTGACATAAAGCATGATCCCGGTGCACATGCAACTGCCAGGGGACTGGTGACCATTCACAACTTCACAGAGCTTCAGTGGAAACCATGGTGCACTGAGGCCTGGGAGAAACAAAACCTCTGCTGAAATAAAGATGGTGTCCATGCTGGATGTTTGTTTGGACTGAATAACATTTGTTGGTCTGAGAATATAGGAATGAACATTCGTTGACTCCGTTGTTTGTTTTATTTGTTTTTAGAAACTTTGCTATTTGAAAATGTAATTATGTCTCCTTTTGTTTAGATTCATCCACTGTTATTTCAGTATTATAAGAAGTCTGATTGACATAGAAGAATGTAAGACTTTCAAAGTTTCAAACCACTGCTGAATTGTAAGAATTAAGTCGACCGGCTAATGCATCTTAGCATGAAACACATCCCGTTCACATATTACAGATTTTTGTTAAACACCAAACTTTGTGGTATTGCTATATTATCTGACATGACAGACACGTCGCCAAATGATCAAATATTCTACACATGCTCACAATTTCAATGATGCAACATTTTTCCTCTGGAAAAGGAGCTAAAACTGAAATACAGCACACAAACAGAAACATCCCAAAGTACATGATTCAGCTCCAGGATGATAGACTTCACAAACCTTACATGATGATCATCAAAAATAGTTCTGGAGGACTTTCAGTGTCTTGATTTTAAAACAAAGAAGCATAAAGGTGTCTCGTAATACAGAAAAAAAATTGCATTACAGCCCAAGCAACCCATTCAACAATTAATATAATGTATGCAGAGGAATTTATACTCCATTTTGGATATTTTTGGAAGATGACTGCCGCAAAATTAGGTTTGAGGCTCAGCATTTTGAAACACACCTGACAACAGTCATAATTGCTTTCAGTCTTTACCAGAAACACCCAACAGATGTATTTGTAACATTAAAAGTAAGTGTTGGGCAGCAGTCACCGCAATGATTTGGCAGGGTGAGCATTTATGGCAATAACATTAGATTACCTATACCATGTCATTTATTCATTTGTAATTATGCAGGTTTTCATCAAGACAGTGAAATTTACATCTGTGTGTCGGTGAAAACTACTTTTGCCAAAATACTGACATTATAAATAATTGCTGGACTGAAAAAAGCAAAAATATCCAATATTAGCCACTGAATGCAAAGCATGCTTAAATTATGAACTTTTTACATTTCAAATTCAAAGCAAACCCATCTTGCATCTCAAAGAGGCATGGTGTCCAATTCTTTTTTACAAATTTAACACTACCAAAAACAGTAACACAAAAAAAAAAATCCTGGGATGGGTTGCACAAAAAAAAAGTTCCTTGGCTTTTAGCACAGTGGCAAACAAAAAAAAAAGCAGAGTTCATTCAGCAATGTTGTCTTTTCCCACCACATAGTGAGCATTGATTTGCACAAATGTTATTTCACCTGGCAAAACCCTGAGGCGCACATTTAAGATTTTGTAAAAGTTCATCTAGTTTTTCCCCATGCCACAGTTAAAAGACTGGAGGGGGGTTGAACAGGGCAACAAGAGTCCTGAAAGTTTTGCAGGGTTAAAGACCAGAGCAGGGTGTAGTTTTTAGAAAGAGGAGAGACACAACTGGGCCTCAAACCGCTCTCCTGTAAGCCTAGTCCAGTTTGGTCACCTCCACCCTGATCCCTAGCTCTCATTGTTCTTCAGGCTCTTCGGCAGGCTGCTCCGGCTGGGCTGGAGGTCTATTGGGTGCTGCAGGGGCTCTGGGTACAGCCTGGTGCTGTCGCTGCCGATATGCGATTACTGTGCCCAAGAGCAGAGCAATGACAGTCATTAGGTAGAGATCCCACTCTGGACCAAGCAACTGGTCGAGATCCACCTGAGACAGAACCTCCTTCAGCTGAGGAAGAAAAGAATGTTACTCGTTATTCCTCCTAGATACGGGTCATTCATTCATTAAATTGTTTTCCTTCGGATTAGTCCCTTATTTATCAGGGGTCACCACAGCGGAATGACCCACCAGCTATTCCAGCATGTTTCATGCAGTGACTGCCCTTCCAGCTTCAACCCAGTTACTGTTTGAGTGATTTTATTGATTAGAACAATGTTTACACAAATCATATACAAATAGGAATTATTTTGTATTAATTGCTTTTTGTCGATACATAAACTAAAACAAGACTTCCTACTGTGTGTTGTCCAGGAAACCCTGTAGGCTAATAGACTGATTTCACACAGCCGCCATTTTAAAAGAGAAAACGAGGCTGCAGTGGGAAGAATCCCGGAAGTATGGCCTTGATCGGCATCTGTGATGGTGTATTATTGTGTACTTGGCTGAATATTTTATCAATCAAAAGAAAGTCACGCAAATGTTTCATTTTACTGCTTTTTGAGTGACCCGAAGGTCCGTTCTAAATTGACATCAGACCTCATTTTCAGTTAAGGGAAATGTCATTATTTGTCCTTCCCAAACACATTTTAGGTGCCATATCAAACTCAAGTTAACAAAATGATTCTTTCAGTATATTAGACTTGTCACGATACTGAACACCCTCATGTTGTGCTCCAAACATTTTACAAAGAACTGCATTCTTTTATTGCTCACCAGGTTACATAGCCTAAAGCAGGGAAGCCCCCTTCTGCGTTTACTTGGTGCTGTGAACTGAAGACTAGGAGGACACTTAAGCTTTATTACTCTTAAAGAGATTATGATTTAGTTTGATGCCTAATATGCATCTAATTTATTAAACTAAACTTAACTGAATTATATTAGAAGTGATGCTTACAACTCATCTGCACTTTGAAATCACAAAAACAGCATGCTGTTGCAATGTTTACAGTGCTGGTCCTCTACTTCCTCGTTTCCTCCCACAGCAGCCTCGCTTTCGTTTTTAAAATGGTGGCCGTGTGAAATAAGCGTATATTTAAGTGAATTCATTTTTCAGGACTGCAGAGAGCTTCATTTCTGTTCTTAGACGCATTAAATAATGCTTTGAATGGTTAGGATAATGCTGAAACAGCTATTCTGTACTCATGTAATATTAAGAGATTAATTTAAACTAAAATCCCAAAAGCCCAGATCTGTAGTCTATAGGCTATCATAAATACAATTTTAATGACCTCCTCTGTCAACATTATGCCAGTGGATTTTACAGATCATGCCAATATGCTCATATATCCCAATGATTAATGCTTTTTTAATGCTTTTTCCTCACTAATCATTTTTGTTAAATGTTTATTGTATTGCTTAGGGGAAAAAGTGTAGCACATATGTACACATTCATGAAAACACCACTTCTCAGCAGTCTGAAAAACATCTGGATGTTCATTATCAGTGTATTACTGCCAAGAAGTTAACAAGTTATTTTTTTGCTAGTAATCACAGAATTCACTTTTTAGTCATGAGAATATCGGGTCACTGAATCACACTGAGCGTCTTTCCTTGTGTTTTATGTGAACAAGCAATACGTTGCTGTTTAGCATTTATTGTTAGCAATGCCAATAGCAAGGGCTCCAGAATTATACATATAGCCACTTGAATATGGTGATGCTGCTTTAAAACATTCTCTTTCTCTATTATATAAAGCACTAAAAGCTAAGGAGCCTTGACACGTTGGATTTGAGCTGGAACCTCTCAACTTACATTGAGATCCTGCAAGTACTGTAGTGCATAAACAAGGCCTAGCTTGCACAGGGCCAGGAACACAGGAACTTGGGCATCAGGACTGGCTTCTGCAGCCATGTCATAGAAACGTTTAGCCAGATGAATGTCCTGTTGAAGAACAACCAAAAAAAAATTAGTGCACTGTTTTTTGAATATACTACCAAGAACTTTTTTTCAGCAAGGATGCATTAAAGTTATCAAAATAGAGATATGCACTATGTTAGAAATGGTTTGCATTACAAATTTTTGCAAGGTTACATTATAACAGTAGTACTGTATACAGCTATATGTAAATATTCATCAAAATTTTACCTGTTTGATCCCAAGGCCCTTCTCATGCATATAACCCAGGTTGAACATAGCCTGTGCACTATGCTGCTGCTCAGAGGCCAGCCGATAGTGAATCACTGCAGTCTCATAGTCTACATCAGTGCCATAGCCATAGAAATGGTAGTCGCCCAGCTTGATTCGGGCAACGGTGTAACCTGTTAACAAAATCAAATCAAATGTTAAAGAAGTCCTGAAAGCTCAATACCATAATGAAAATTCAAATGCAGTTATAATAACAGAAGGGATGATTTTGCAAGTTCATTTTTTTCAATAATGATTCTCTGACCAAATATTATCCTGCTTACTGTTGTACATAAAGTACATAAATGAAAAAAAATTGTTATTCATTTTGCAATTACTTTATAACAAGTTATTATTATTGTTAATATTTTTATTATTATTATTAAACTGTACTCAAAAGTACAGAGTAATAGAAAACGATCATCACACTAAAAAGAACAAGCAGTCTAAACGCATTACATATGCACAATTTAGCAGCACTTCTACAGAAATATCTGATCACAGAATGCCGTGTATGGCCAATCAGAATCAAGTATCCAAGAGAGCGGTGTAGTAAGTGGTTATATTTGTCTCACTATAATGGTTGCAAAATCATCAAAACAGTCTGACATTTTGCTTAAGTGACCGTGTGGGTTGAGGAGGATGGTTTAACCTTGAGCAGCTGCTCTGGTCCAATGAAGCAAAGCCCGTGGGTATGTTTCATTTTCATTGAAGATCTGCGACCCCTCTGCAAGACACACACAAAGACTCAGAATTTGCTTTGGAAATGTGAAGTGGTTTTGGTTTCCCAGTTAACATGCAGGAAACATCTTTATAAAGCAGTTTGTACACAAGGACTTATAAAGATTCAAGACCAAATGATCCCCTTCATCTTTTATATGCATTTTCTATAACCTTTTACTATTATCGGGTTTATAATAGTTTTTTTAATAACCGATTTTCTTTCGTTTCCATCAAAACCACAATTATTATTAATACATTTTGGCAATTATATTTAAATTTATGTTTTAGTAACCATTAAAAACTTGTATAACAAAATTGTAGTTTCACTTAATGGTTTAGGTGTAAAATGTCAAATTAAACTAATTTAAAGTCAATATAATTCCTCTTTCATTCCGTTTTAAATACTATTATAATTAATATGTGTTGTATAGTGAGTGAGGGGAACTAATTAATGTTTATATTTGTACACATTTTATTTTATTTAGAGCTATGGGTCATCTATTTAACATAATTTCTAAATTATGTTGTAAAAAGTGACTAATAAACCAATATGAATTTATGTTTTTTTGGTGAGATTTCTTTATCGGATATTTTTGCAAGAAAGAATGCAGAAGTGAAAATGAAAAAGTTCAGAATAACCCTAGCTTGCTTTCTCAGATCAGATTTTAACAAAATAGCATCATTATATGTTGGGTCTGGCGCCCTCTGGGGACAATAGCAGAGCATTGACTCACTTTGATCAAGGACGAAGGCCACATTGCTCTGTGCAACCTCATAGCCCTGTTCTGCCAACAGGAGATACTGAATAAGAGCAGAGTCCATATCACCCTCCTTAAAGCTTCTGTAGGCCGCCATGAGTCTCTCAGACCAGCGGCCGCGCTCGCACACGTTCTTGAAGAGCTGTTTACAAATACACATTAACTCAGCTATCAGACAAGCATTTTAAAATAATGGTATGCATCTTAAAATGACGTCTCACCTCTACGGCAGTGTGACAGGAGCGCATGACCCCTGTTCCTGTCGCATGCATTTGGGCAAGGTTATAAAAGGCTAGGATGTGACCCGCTTGCGATGCCAGGTTGAAGAATTTAAGGGCCTGCTTGTAATCACGCTTCACTCCAATGCCATCTAAATTGTGAGGAAAAAGAAAAGTCGTGAAATGCATTTTTCAAACTCTTCAAACACCCACCAGCTGAAATGACTAAGACACTTCTCAGTCCTCTGTGTTTGTCAAGATCATGTCAAAGCAGAACACAGGTGGGAGTTTGTTATGGTAACAATCACCCAGGCAACATCACCGTAAGGAGTCTGCTGTGATTTAAGATAAAAATAAGATAAATCAGAGTTGAGCTGGTGGAACAGTGAGCTAGAGAGACGAGGAGATCAGAAAAAAAAACTGTTCCAAACATCTTTGGGCATTCAGGTCCTGAAGGAATACTGCAGAGCAAAAATGTAGATTTTCTAAAGTTGGAACTGAAATCTCAGTGGCTTTTTGGAGGCTTTGCATCATGATAATTTCCTGTTCTATACTGAGTGTGTTCTGCTCAGGTGTAAATCAGTTTTCCATTATAGATATTATTCAGTACATAATGACTTTGTTAAAATATTAGCATTATCGTCGACATTCAATATAAAAGCTTGTGTAGAAACAGAAAAAAAGAGACAAAACCTAAAATATGACTGACCGTCAGGTCCTGAAGTCATATATTAAAGCAGAGCAAGAAATAAACTATAGAAATTCCAATGGCTGTTCTATAAGTATGGTGCGATTAATTTATTTTTTACTTTATTATTATTATGGTTATTATTACCACCCATCATAGATTTTTAAAGATACTCTGATTTATATTTTGAGCGATTTGATATTTATGCAAATGTCAACACAGCTCCAGTTGTGTTGAGCACAGCATTTTTACACAATAAAGTACAGCATATGACAAAAATTGCTTTTCAATTTACTTTGCTAATGATATTCCTAACCTTGTGCTCAATAATTCATCTATGGTACTGCTCTTTGCAAATTTAAATTTCAAGACATCCTCAAGTACTTTAAAATTTTAACAGATTTGTGTGTGTTGAGCATCAGTTAAGACAATGTTAGCACCTGTCAGCTTTAATTGTGAGGAAAACAGGATAATTTTGAGCTTTTGTCAGGTAATTTCATCTTCCGAGTTTAAAATAATTTTTAGGGAAGGATCAAAATCGGTGACGAATCTGCTAGTGGAGTGATGACGCTTCAGTTTCTCATTATTCATAGTGGAGTTTCTTATCCTATAAGAAGAGCCTGTTTCTTAATTATTTGAGATCACATGCTTTCCGAAGGCAAAGCAGACCAGCTCAGCTGTGAGACGGCACGTTCATGAAGGATCACACGCTTTTGTTTCTATATTCCACAAGGTTTTTTGCACGTTTTCCCTGCAATGCTGTCAGGGCCAATACAGCAAAGCTTTTGGTTTGTTTCAAACATTTTTGTCGAGAGAGCTGTACGAGAATGCCAGACTTTGAATGGTAACAAACTCACGCACATCACCTATATCCATGCTGCTGTTCGCCTATATTTTAAACCCTCCAGATTACCAGCAGGGTTAATAGTTGAAATAGACAGGACAAGAGACCTGCTGCACTGCAATTCACTGTGTCTGCATTCAGACCCAGAGATTCAGAAGGAGAGAAGTCCTCCTAATTTTTAGTGTTTAAATAAACACAATTATCTTTATAAAGATATAACAAATTGTGGTTATGTGTATATGAAATTACGAATAGTAAGTAATTTAAGGCCCTGCTACATATGCTGTTTATTTCTTTGCATTTACTTTTGTAAACTATAAAATCAGTCTCCTCATGGTTTGGGTCTCATTTTGTCAACTAACAGCTGTTCGCTCCCCTCTTTTCCCTCTACTCTGCTGGCCACGCCCACTCCTCCCTCTACTCATTTTTTGAAAAAATTCTGAGGTAGACTTGAATTAAAAGAGGGGGGGTTTTATGGCCCTGTAATGAAACAGGATCTAAACAGGTTTTTTTCCCCATATGACGTTGTTTTATTGTTTAGGTTGGGATTGTCCAATCTTATGGTCATGTTGGGCCACTGTCCTTATCTTAAGATAACTATCAGGAACTTTCTGGTATGACTAGTAACTACGACCTGGATTAGTTGGTTCAGTTCTGTTTATTTAGGGTAAGAGCTAAAAAAAAAAATGACAGTGGCAATGCAAGTACAATAGGAATGGACACTCATAGTTTAGATAGAAGATCAAATCAGACTGCTGCAAGATTTAACAGTGAACTCAGTGAACACTATATTTGAAGATGACCCTAATTCCCAGTAAAAGAACACTCCCTCTACTGGTTCACATGGACATTCAGTAAGGGAATGTGAAAACATTATGAAAAGAGAAAAGATAGAGACAAAACTACATTAGACTAACACTCAAGCCTTTACTGGATTAGTAACCTTAAAATCTCTTGAATAGCTGCTGATTTTAAAATGGGGGGGGGGGATATTTACAGAATTTCTCTGCTGCACACACTTACTGTAGTACATGGTTCCTAGCTGCAGCTGTCCATCCACCCATCCTTGCTCTGCAGCTTTTTGAAAATACTTCAAGGCCAGGTCATAGTTCTGCAGAATCAGGAAAAGCATTGGCTGCAAAAACAAGTCTTTGAATGATTGCAAACTGTTCAGTTCAGCTTATCTAGAAAACTCACCACAGGAACACCCCTTCCATACAGGTAAGCCATACCGAGGCCACTCTGGCCAACTGGATTACCCTAAAAGACACAGATTTAAAAAAAAAAAAAATCAAAAATGAGAACAGTCTGTTTTGTAAGGAGGGTTTTTGTATCTTCGCTGGGATTAATAGTCTTACCAAGTCTGCAGCCTTCTTGAAATAATGTAGTGCTGTCTCATTGTTCTGAGGCACATACTCACTACCTTCAGAGTACATCTAACACAACAGAACAAAAAAAGAAACAACAAAGAATAAGCACACGGAGGTTGAAGGCAACTGTTAACAAAAAACAAATTACTCATTAAGTCTATACCTTTCCAAGGAAGGCCATAGCATGTGTGTTCCCAGCGTTTGCTGCCTGGTTGAAGTACTCGTAGGCCCGCTGAAATACAATGACAAAAAAAATAAGCTCTCTTTCAAAAAGGATAAAATTTATTCAAAAGTAAAGCTGTGAGAGACATCAATTCTGCGATTTTCAAAATGCATCGCTATTCTCTCTTGAATGAATTCTGAGCTTCGTTTTAAACAGCAGATGGCGCTATACGCTTGACAAACAACCATTATCTGCTTGCATCCAATTCTTTACAAATATCACTTGTTCCAAAAATAATCATTAATAAAAAAATAATTTAAAAATACATTAATCATGTGACAAATGCCAACTTGCATAACAGTAAAAAGCACAATTTCTCTTCCTTGTGAGCATTTGAGTAAACGGTTAAACTAGTGTAGAGCACAATCTGCTGTTAATAACTAGGCTCAGAATTGATTTAGGAGAGATTTTGAAAATCTCTGAATTGATGCAGTATGGACGGGGTGCAGTATCGACAATAGATTTTGCCACAGCTCTAATCTGAAAAAGGCACATTATTTTTGATAATTAACCATCAAAAATACTGACAAAAAATGTAAATACCTGGTGATTTTGCTCTACACCTCTTCCTCCATGTAGGTGTAACTGACCCAGACCAACCTAGGGGGGAAAGCTCATTTTTAAAAATGTGACAATAATAAACAAAAATACGTTTAAAGGGACAGTTCATTTAACAATGAAAATTTACGCAGTTTACTCCCTCAAGGGGTTCAAGTGAGTTTCTTTATTATGTTGAATAGTACAGAAGATAATTTGCAAAAAGGTGCAAACCTGACTTTCATGGGAAAAACAAATAATATGAAAATCAATAGTGACAGGTTTTCAGCTTTCTTCAAAATATCTTCTTTTTTGATCAACAGGAGAAAGAAAGTCAAACTGTTTGAGAACAAGTAAAGGGCGAGTAAATGACGACAACTTGCATTTTTGGGTAAAAGATCCCTTAATGCTTAAACATGAAGTAGGCTAAATAGCTGGATGGACAGCCTAAGCTAAACCTGAAATAATGTCACAATGTACAGATAAATCAAGATGGTTTTATTTTACCTGTGCCTGCACATCTCCTTTCTCAGCCAAGAACTGGTAGTACTGGATTAGGTCCTCTTCTAGCATTCCACTGCTAGAACCAGGATTTTCCACTTCATCTAAGAGCCGGATCCGCTGTACTGCACTGCCCCCTGTCAGAGACACGTCGCTGGCCACTAGCAGAAGGAAAAAAAATGTTTTATTAAAAGTTCACCTTAGGCTACAATATTGCAAGACATTATGCAAACTCACGTTTTGCCTATTTAAAAATACTGAGAGGATTTACTAAACACACAATGTGGGAAAAAATAGGGGATTGTAGGCCTACACAAATTTGCCCAGTTGAAATAATATGGCACATAATTATCCCGGAGTTCAATGTTGACATTGAAAACATCACAGTAGTAGAAATCGATTATATGTGGGTTTTTATGATCAAAATCTTTAACCACAATGATTAACTGTGTTATACATCGCAGAAAATCATTTTTAAGTCACTAAACATTTCCTTAAACTGTCAGGGGGCATAGCGTCCAAGATCACATTAGGTAATGAAATACAATATTTTCAAGTGGACACCAGAGACCCAGACAACTTCTTTTAAAAGATGCAGTCCTGAAATTACTCACATATTTAGATGTGTATCATGACTGCATTTGAGGAACAGAAATGTGACATGATTTACCGTGATTGGCCACTAGTCTGTAGTGAGTGAGAGCAGATTCACAGCTCTGAGGAACTCCAACACCTCCCCAATATCTATAGCCCTGAAAGGAAAGCATGGCATTCATCAAACAGCAGAGCCAAAACACAAGCCTGAACCACTGAATTGTGAGAGTAGTCATGGATAAATTATGGTCTCAACAGGGTTTGAGGTTTCAACTTTGCTTCATGTAACTGAGCCAATGCGTCGCTCTGAAGTTCAATAGCTCTGAAGGCTTGTGTGGACAGATATCAGCTTGATATATGCAAAGTCAAACAGGCTCATGGCACATAAGATAAGCAAGTAATCAAGTCTAGTTTCCAGGCTGGAACAAAATCCTCCCTTTTGTTTACAACACAGGAGAGGGAATCATTCTTCTTACCAGAATCATATGTGCCACTAGGTTTCCACCCAAAGCTCCAAAGGTGTAGTACACCAACGCCTGCAATCAAGTGAAATAAAGACATTTCTTTAGTCCTTTACATTTACAATTATCATGTTGTGCTTGCTAGATACAAATTATCAGGTGATACCTTTGCCTGACTTGAGTTCACACCCAATCCTGCAGCATACAGGAATCCAAGTGCCTGTGGGAACAAAAATTGAATGTAATTAGTCCACAGTGTAAAGAAATAAACTAGAATAATGTTTTCCTGATGCAACAGTTACAGTGATAAAGTGACTCAGCACACATCTGCTATTTTAAAAAAACAGCTTGAAATAAGTCAGGAAGCAGGGGGTATTAGATGTATTAAGATAGATGATGACACCAAGTATAATAAATAAACAATTACAGTCTGGGCTTTTGGCGAGCCCTCCAGTGCCAACTTCTCAAACATCTCCTTCGCCTGAGGAATGCTCTGGGGTAAGTAGTCTCCAAACAGCATGGCATATGCTACCTTCTCCATGGCCTTGGTATGACCCATCTCTGCAACCTGCAGGAGTTTGTCAAACAGTCTGCAACAACGAAAGGAAAAATATTAGGAAGATATTAACTAAAAGTCATATTCAAATGTTTAGATCAAGTAACATTTTAATATTCTTTTTGAAGTTAGAGTCTTTAGGGTAAACATTAAGGTTTGTATCTTCTTAGTGATTTTTTAAATTTTTTTTGCCCAAACGTACACACTACACACTCACTACAATTCAAAAAGAAAAAAAAAAAAAACATAAGACCCCTTTAATGGGCAGGTAAGGTGCAATGTTTATCTTTGAGGCTGCTACTCAAACTAAGGCCTTGTAGGTTTCAAACAGAGTGGCTCGAATTTTCTTAAATTAAAAAAAAAAAAAAATAATAATATATATATATATATATATATATATATATATATATATATATATATATATATATATATATATATACACACACACACACACACACATATACATATACATATATATATATATATATATATATATATATATATATATATATATATATATATATATGTATATATATATATATATATATATATATAATTTTGCAAAAGCTTTAAAAGTATTAAGTATTTTACAGCCACAGAGAACTTACTCTTTCTTCTGGCTTCTTCGGTTAGTGCCATTAATCATCCTAACTGTGGCTTGGTACTGTTCTTCAGCCTCTTCCGCCATCCTCCTCTGCTCTGCCTGCTCCTCCGCTATGAGGATGAACAGACACATCACATAAACATTAAGAAAAATGACTACAAATGCTAAAATCATGACTGATTCATAACGGCTGGTACCGTCAGAACTGATCATTTAATATCTAAGAAATGAATGCAGAAAATAAATATCGATAAAAGAATAACTTTCTAGTAATCTGAGAACAGCTCATTTTCTTTCAACAGAAAAAGGAATCACAATAGCATTTATTTTTACAATAAGAGCTCACTCACTTTCACAGAAGCCCCATCTCTTATCGTTATTGTAGTCGTACGTTGTGGCACACCACAGTCTCCCATCTCCTCTGCCTTCAGTAGTGCAGTCTGAATACTCCTTCCCTTGAAAAAGAAAAGGGAATATGCAGGGCTCCCCAGAGGCCGTTCCACCATTCACCACCGGAACTGCGCCACATGATACACCAATGAGAAAATGACACAATATTCAGACACTTTCACAGGAAACTAAGCAAAGGTGAACGCATGAACGAGCAAGTTTCTTCTCAACAGACACTGCAACCATAAAGATCCTGTTTACACCTGGTTCTAAAATGCATGTTTGTGAACAACACTAAACTCAGGTGTACAGACACATAAAACCCTACAGTGAAATTGAAAATACTTCATAATTTTATGAAAAAAAATATATTAAAATTATGTTTTTCTTTATTGGCTGGAATAAAAAAGTAAACATTTTAAAACTGCTAGAGACAATCTTATTAGCCGCCTTAAGAAATTGTTTTCTCGATTGGCTACGGAATAAATCACTGTTGTCCAATAACTTGACTCATTCATTTTCTTTTCGGCTAAGTCCCTTAATAATTCTGGGGTCAACACAGTGGAATGAACCACTAACTTATCCAGCATGTTTTACGCAGAGGATGCCCTTCCAGCTGCAACCAATCACTGGTAAATTCCACTCATTCACACACACTAAGTACAATTAAGCTAACCCAATTCACCTGTGCTACGAGTTTGGACTTGTGGGGGAAACTGGAGCACCTGGAGGAAACCCACAGGGGGGAACATGCAAACTCCACACAAAAATGCCAACTGATGAGGCTCGAACCAACAACCTTCTAGCTGTGAGGCAATCATGCTATCAACTGCACCACCATGACACCCAATAACTTGACTAATAGATCAAACTTGACTAGTAAATCTATTTAACCTAGTTAAGCCTTTGAATTGCACTTTGCCATGTTGACTTTACATAATATTTTACTAGTATTCAACATAAAAAGTAAAAAAAAAATAATTATTAGAAATTATTTATTAAAACTAATGTGTTTACTACATAATTTAAGAAACAAAATTTGGGAAAAGAATACAAATTTCACAGAAGTTCTTATAATCTTGTCTTTAACTGTAAATAAGGGCAGAAAGAGCTTGTCCATGTTTGACCACTTAGAAATGTAGCTGAAAACCCATTAAAGCATGTTGTTTTCATACTGAGAGGGGCAGGTAATTGGATGTGTTCATACAGCTAAAACTAACTAAAAGTGAAACAAAAAAATATATAAAAAAAACAAAATTCACAATTCTCTTTTAGGTCATGATTCTAACATTAATCCAGTGTTCAGTGCAGCTTTAAGATAATAACTGAAATCTGTTGTTCCCCATATTCTTATATGTAAATGCTGCATTTATGCTGTTTAAAAGTTCATATGTAACCCGCACATCAATTAACACTTCAAAAAAAAATCTAAAAATGGTCGAAAGTTGACAAAAGGGACTGATTAAAGCGCAAGATGTCCCTCTCATCTACTTTTGATCTAAAACATATCTCAACAGCAGGTGTTGTAGCCAAAGAACAATTCTGAGCTATGAAAACCTAAACAGCATATAATAACACAACTTTAGCAGTGAGAGTAAAAAAGGCTGCAAAATAACTAAAGACAGATAAAATGATGCCACATACACAGATAAATCTAACTATCAAGAAATGTATGCTCTTATACAGGAAGCACCTGCAGACTGCATTTACTCACCTTCTTTACTACGCTCCTGTGGTGGAGGTGGCTGACTAGGAAGGTCTTCCTTTTCAATCTCATCAACTTTGATCTCCATATCAGTGTCTGTTGTACTGCTGTCAGTCTGGGCATCTTTAGGAACATATGCACGTCCTGTCACAATATTGGCACCTTCATTTTCAGCAGTGCTCTGATTTTGACAAAAAATACAGACAGAAGACTTAATTAGTAAGAAAAAAGCATTGTTGGCATGCACACAAATAATAATAATTTTAAAAACATGTTTACATACAGAGAGTAGAAAAACATATTTATTTAATTCAATATCTACACAACATCCTTTAAAATTTTCATATTTAATTTTATTTAATTATTTACTGAACAAAAACTAATGACTCTTTTTAACATGGATAAATAAAGGCACCCACTAAAATATAACTCAGTGCAATGCCATCTTATACAGCTAAAAATCCTGTCATGCAAATTAAGAACAAGAACCATTTAAAAACATTTTGATGGCAAGTATTTATGGACCATTACTTCACCCACATTTTATTTTATCAAATACTTTTGGATCACACTTTATAGTAAGGTTTTATTAGTTTATGTTAGTAAACACATTAACTTATATTAACTAAAAATGAGCAGTACTTGCAGCATAATGTAAATACTTGCAGTATAATGTAATGTGTACAGTTTTATTACAAATCATTGTTCGATATTTACTAACCCATTATTAAAATACAAAGTTTTGCTTGTTGACATTAACATAAACCAACAATGAAGGACTTTTTTTATTAAATGATGTAAACAAATATGAATAAACGCTGTAATAACTGTATTGCTTGTTCGTTGTTTCTATATGTCAGTAATCCTGATGTAAACTTAGACACTTTACCATCAAATATTGTGCTTTCAATCCACATAAACTCATTTATACACCAAATATATAATGCAAACACAAAACACCCTGCCTTCTACAAAAGTGCATGTTTATGGTAACGTTAGTGATAATATGCCATTATGTTATAATATGTGGGATTACCTGAGAATCCCCACCCTCACCAACACCATCATCTGAGGGTACTTCTGCAATTAAAGTAAACAGTCAGGTTTAGTTTTTACACACGCTACACAAGATGTCAACACATTTCAGTTCAAGAAACCTATTCCACACATATGAATAATACAATTAAACAGTGAACAGTTAAACCGTTTTGCGTAGTAATTACGTTTCAACAAACATAAATGTACTAATATAAGAGTAAGAAGTGAATACTTCAAAAAGAGCCTCACCACCAGCTGTCACTTCCAAAGTCACAGCTAAAGCCACAATCAGGACCAGGCAAGACTTCTTAGCTGAATTCATGTTGTCCTCAATTTGTCCTCAACGCAGTGAACGACTAAAAATATTTAACTCAGCACATTAACAACCTGTGGTCCTAACTAGCCATCTAGCTTTTTAAATCAGTCAGTGAACTGCACCTGACTGCATAACCCACCAGCTAAAGACATTAACCAGCAAGCCAATGAACCAGAAACTTCTCCCAAGAGAAAAAAGGACTACAACACAATAATCCATTCGCAAATATTGCACATTAAGAGCCTAACTGCAGCTAACGTTAGTAGCTCAGTGTAACTAACTCACTGACAGTCTGTCCACACAGCTAGCACAGCTAACTTAAACAAACACAAACAGCACTTCCCAGAGACCAGCGCTTTTGACGGTCGCCGAGCACGAAATCATTCCAACACGGTTTCCGGAATAATGTTTACAAGACAACTGTGATGTCTAACAAATCACAGGACAGAAGACAATAACAGTTTAGCCGTCGTCAGGGTTTCTCGTGTTTCAGCATATTTCTGTTCTCTTACTGACCCCCTATTTCCTAATCCGCCGCGCTTTCACCAATCAGAATAAGGTACCGCAGATAACAGCCAATCGCTGCGCTCCCTGATTCAGTCGACCAATCTGATGTGCACACACAAGAGTATCACGGCGGCTGAGATACGCGAATGGAGCAGAAGTGAACACGACTGTGTGCAGGATGTGGAAACGCCTTTAAACAGCTGACTGATTGTTATGAGGTGCCGTGTAGGATTTAAATCAAACTTTGCTTACAAACACATACATAAAACACGTGTATATACACCTATAAATTACTCGCATATACACCTATACTACTGGATGTTCGAAACAACATGAATGAAACTTGTGTATATACATATAAACTTGACGCATGAATACACCCACATACACACGCACATACATATAAACTTGATCCTCACATAAACACCCACATTAACACACGCACATACATTTAAACTTGCTGCATGCAAACAAACCTATACACACTGCATATACATATAAACTTGATCTATGCATATACACCCATAAACTCTCACATAAGAATATAAACTTGATGTGTGCATAAACACCCAAATGACACTTGTGCAAACATACAAAATAAAATTCTCAAACATATATACAGTTAGTTGTGTATATACATATATGCAAGTGATTTCATATGTGTGTATGCATGAATTTTCACAACAATTTGCAATAGAAAATAGGAGTTTAGTTTGAGTATACATTTATATTTATAATTCTGGTTGCTTTTTGAACGTCCTTTAAGGGTTCTATCTGTCCATTTATATTTGTGTATGTAATTACCTTATTAAATTAAAAGGTTTTAAATAAAAAATATTTTTATTTTGAATAGTCTATTTATGTAGACTAATATTTTATATAGGCTAACATATGTTCATAATTTAATATATTTAATCCCTCTATTAATCACATTATTTCTATTTCATAAGCTTTGCAATAAACAAGATTCGTGATAAACGTTTGTGAATTTTATTTATTTATTTATTTTTTGTATGTTTGCGCGAGATGTTGTAGGTGTGTTTGCATGCAGTGAGTTTGTGTATGTGCGCGTGTTGTTGAGGGTGTATATGCATAGACCGTGTTTATATGTATATGTGATTATGTATAGGTGTGTTTGGATGCTGCGAGCTTATATGTATTTGCATGTAAATTTGGGTATTTATGCGAGAATCGAGTTTATATGTATATGCTAGTGTGTATAGGTGTGTTTGCATGCAGCAAGTTTATATGTATGTACGTGTGTTAATGTGGGTGTTTATGTGAGGATCAAGTTTATATGTATATACACAAGTTTCATCTATGTTGTTTCGAACATCCAGTAGTATAGGTGTATATGCGAGTAATTTATAGGTGTATATACATGTGTTTTATGTATGTGTTGATAAGCAAAGTTTGATTTAAATCCTACACGGCACCTCATACAATTGTACTTGAAACTGCACACATAAAACAACAACAACAGTAATTTATAGTAAACACTAGTAATTTTAGTGCCATACTATAGTAAAGTGTGTTTTACTGTATTACTCACAACTCTTTGTTAATGAATGAACTGATAAATTAGTGAACTGATGAACGGTAATAGATACTATGTTCTTTAGTTTTTACTACAGTAAACTGGTTTACTGTAATAGAATTGAACATGTTGTTGTTCCATTCACAACCGATCAGTGATGTACTTTACAACTGTATAGTTAAAAAAACTCTATAGTATTAACAATAAATTGGTGTATTATTTTTGTCATGTAAGTAGAATGAATGAATGAATCAATCAATAAGTCGATCATGATTTCAAAATATTGGCTTATGATCTACCTGAAATCTTATACAAAGGTCAAATACTATTGGAAATTTCAGTACTTATATATTAATTTCAGTATATTTCTTAAACTCAAACATTTCTCACCTTGAGAAACACCTGAGGCAAGACTTGAAGCTCTAAAAGATAATATTCATCAAATGAAATGCAACCGGAGAGCAGTTTTTGTGGACTCTCTCTGTCACTCATTAGTATCCTGTTCTCTCCTGTCATGCCAAAATTAATGAAAGCCCGTCTGGCAGCGTCCACTCCAGCCATAACTCACCTTATATCTGTTATCAAGCATCTAAAAATACAGCTCCTGAGTTGAAAAGCATTTGACAGTCAGGGCTAATGATGAAACTTCTGCTCAGACAATGATCTGAGAACAGCAGAGATGTTTACGAGCGAGCTAAATGCTGCATTGTGTAACTATAGTACACAGACGGCACTGTTACTTCATTGTGCTTAAATATCTCTCTGAAATAACGCAAACACTCTCAAAGTGCGTAAAAGAGTATTAAGAGTTGAGCATGATACGATGTGAATACTAGTTAGCGTCCATAGATATATACGTTAAATGTCGCCGACCCTAATGTTGTCTTTTGGACGGAATGCGTCAACAGATCCGCCATTTTAGTACAGGGTAACGCTCCTTTGAAATGAACGCTCCTTTTAAACGAGCGCCATCTAGCGGTCACATAATCTAATGACTAAATATTATGAACTTATTTTATAAATACATATAACTTGACATTAACTTTTTTTCTTACCAACCCCACTGGTCTTTTTCACAAGAAAAAAATTTATTGTTGGAAACTGTGTTTTATATATATCTATATTTGACTTTTGCATGCTTGAGGAAGAGACGTTTTACTTGATTTGGGTCATTAAAAAACTCCGACTACCAATATTATGATATAGGTTGCCTATAACTGCTGTATTCACCCTAAAACTTACAGTAGGTTGACATAAAACCAAAGACAACACCCATTCTTGTCTTAAGACATTTTAAGCAATTTTTTGAATAACAGTAAGTTCATGACATGTTACATTTTGGTAAATCTGCTGGTTTTAAACATACAGCATAATAATAAATACAGGTATGTAACAACCATAACATTACTCTTATGTCTTTGGACAAATATGATTAACTTTTGATTACCTACACTAAATGTTGACTATTGAAGGTACATTTATAACAACTATTTATTTGTAGACTACTGTATTATCAAACGATGTTGCATACAAATGCATTCAACAGACTCAAATGACAGTGTATTGCTGTAGAGGACAAATAAAACACGGGACAGGTGTTTAGGAAGAGTATAGTTTATTTTGTTTGACCTGCAAACTCTCAGAAAACAGACCGGAAACATTATGATGCGCGCGCTCGTGGAGATAACCCGCGGTCGTCTTCAATAGTCCATCTTTGCTCAACAACTCATCTGAAAAACAAAAGCAAAACATTACAACATTCAGACAAAGAGCAGAGAGCATAGAATCACCAAGAGGCGATACTCTAGTGCAATTTGGGAAACAATAACGCGCTTTTTGAATACATTAAATAAAAACAAAGCCGCTGTTTGCCATTGCGACAGCAATGATATCCAATGCACGAGCGATCGCTTTCGATTCAAAATGGCCGAATCTGTTGCTCTTGGTCATCCTAGGCTCTTTGCATAGTTAAATCATAACAGTTATCATGGTTTCTATTTCAAACTATAGTAAACTAAAGTTTGAAACTATAGTTTAAAATAGAAGATGAGTGGGCCTCGCCACTCCCACCCACCATAACCCTCGCAGCGAGGTCCCACTACCGGCCGCCCGTGTTTCCCTGAGGGTCCTCGGGGGTTGTTTGTTCCCTGCCTAGGGCTCAAAGGCCGCCTCGCCCCAGGGAGTGCACGGAAAGACCGGGCGCCAGGCCGTGCCAGTATTCACTGGATGTTGCTCGGCGGCACATTTCGAGCAACAAACACGTAATATTCTTCGCGATATTGCGTTTATGTACGCAAACCGCAAGGAACTACAGCACAGACGGGCCCGGGTGAAGCATCACGAAGCGGACTTCGTGAGTTTGGCGTAGCTCCACTCGTACCGTCGGTATTGAACTCACCTTGGTCAAGTACAAACAGCTACACCGGGCGAACTGACAACGCTGACTGAGAGCACACGAGCTTTATAGGAATGCATATGCAAATTTTTACAAGGGACTTCACTGTTGTCTCGTTGTCATGGCGAGCGCTGAGGAGGGCTCACCTTATTGGAGCACAGAGAACTCGGGAATTTGCGTCACGGCTAGTTGCCGTCTGCTGTTGACAAAAATATCATAAATATAATAAATATATATTTTTACATTTTTGGTGCTCTGTAATATTCTGGGATGCAGTAGAATATGGAGACAGATGAATATAATTGGATATATGCCGAGCTAGTGTTGTTCCCATACTTATAAACTTCCGGTGACCGGTTATTGTGAGTTTTTTTCCATTTTATACGGTTCCTTTTACAGCATTGATGTTGTGATGCAATTAAAATACATTCAGTTAAATAAACTTTGGCATTCATTTAGTTGTTCAAGCGTAAAACGAGACAAATGACCCTTTACTCGCACTCGGCCGTCATAATCGGCAGACTAGCGCAGACGCTCCATTGAATACAATGAGGTAAAAAAATGTTCATATTATAAAGACATGGCGGGGGAAATGTAATTTAATGCAGTGCTTCTTGTACAATCTGAGACCCACTTTATATCGGATATCACTCAGCCAGTGGAGATCGCTGATTTTTAAAGAAAACAGACCTTAAACATGCTGATTTTTCCTTAACCCAGGTTACTGACAAATTAAAAGTCCTATTAGCATGCTTCAGCATATACCCTAAAATCCCAGAATGTCTTTCGAAAAAGAGTACGGGTTTAACCCCGGCACCCTGGCCAGATCTACCCACTGGCCTCTGTCCTTCATGGCCTCGCAACCCTCCCCATATCATAATTGGCTTTATCACTCTGTTCTCTCTCTGTGGTGTGCGGTCTGGTGGAAAACGGCTGCTGTCGCTGCATCCAGGTGGATGATACACTGGTGGTAGATGAGGAGATTGCTACCCAATAAATACCAAACTAGCTAAATTTAATTACAATATTTCCCCTTAATGCTCATTTTGTACTCAATATAATGAAACACTAAAGCATTTATTTTGGGAGTGTACTTACTGTAATGTGTTTTGGGTTGACT